TGTGGCTTTCAGCATACAGGTCCTAAGTGTTTTTTTAGACTCACAAATATTTCATCTTTTGGTGCTGTTGTAATTAGGGCTGTTTATTTTTTATCTTCTAATTGCTTATTGTCTTTTTCTTACAGTTCTGTCAAGTTTTATATCATGTTTTTCAGTGCATAGATATTAGTATTATTTATTAGTTGACTCTTCTATTATTACAGAATGATCCCCTTTATCCCTGGTCATCTTAATTGCTCCAAAAACCGCTTTGCCTGATATTAATATAGCCACTTCTGCTTTCTTGATTCGTGTGAACCAGAGATGTTGTTTTCCTTACTTTTACTTTTGACCAATTTGTAATTTTGTATTTAAAGCAGGTTGTTGCAGACAGCATGGAGTTGAGCGTTGCTTTTTTATTCAGTCAGAGGTCTGTGCCTTCTGATTAGTGAGGGTACAAAAACCAGGTACTTTCAATGTACTGGCGTTGTGAGGTTTCAGTCTTCTGTCCGGCACACAGGATGTGCACGGGAATGTGCACATTCCCGGGGTCACACCTGGGCTCTATCATGAGAGCAGCCTTGAACTAACCTCACAAATGAGGAAATGCACAGGTTTTCTCTTAAGATTGCCACTAGAATTTTTATTATTCGCCTAGATTTTTATACTACATTATTTGAGTTCATCAAAAATCCAGTTAGAATTATGTTTAAGATTGTGTTCAGTGTGCACATTGCCTTGTGGAGAAGTTATCTTTGTAGTAGGATGTCACCCCACACCAGGGAATGGAAGATTCCTCCATTTATTTGAATAGTCTTCCGTGCCCTTTATTAGGGTTTTTATGCTCTCTCCACTGGGGCCTTGTGGCTGGGCAGTGAGTTCCTAGTGACCAAGGGGTCACTTCTGGGACTGTGTTCCTGGGTTCCTCCTGTTAATTACATCCCCTAATCACGTCATTGTTATTGGAGAAGGTGTTGATGTTAGCTTCCCATTTCTATTTTTGGTGTTTGTAGCACAACCCAGTGTGCAGTGGTCTGTTGTGTTGCCTCTGTTGGCTTTTCCAGATTTGTTGTAATATTTACAAACACAATATTCTATTTTTTTAATGTTGAGGGATGCTGGGTGGCTCATTCGGTTGAACACCCAACTTTGGCTCGGGTCATGATCTCACGGTTTATGGGTTCAAACCCCATGTCAGGCTCTGTGCTGACAGCTCGGAGCCTGGAGCCTACTTCAGATTGTGTCCCCCTCTCTCTCTCATCTCCCCGGCTCACAGTCTGTCCCTCTCAAAAAATAAAATAAACATTTGGAACAACAACAACAACTGTTGATGGGCTCCCTTCCCACTTCTCCCCTCACCCCATCAGCCCCGAATGCATCTGTGATGTTCAGAACCTGGGGTTTCTGTTGTGGGAGGAAGAGCATCTGGACAAACTGAGATTTGGCCTTTGGTGGACTCACCTTTATGAATCCTGTTCACATAAATAAAACAGAATAAATAACATCGTGAAATGGCCTTTGTGGTTGAGAAGGAAGAACTGAATCATCAGTCTTCCTTTCCTCGTTGTGTCTGAAATTAGATTCTCGGTACTCTTCCTACGAGTGTCCCTTCAGGTCTTAGGCCTTTGTATCCGCTGCTGTGCCTCAGTTACGTCAGGGCATGAGCAGTTGTTACTTCGCCCATTGGTCGTGAATATTACAGATCCAGAAAGGCTTTATGATACCGCTGAATCTCAGCAATTTCCCGCAAGGTTACTTCTCGAGCCAGTATGGTTTGCATCTGATTCAGTGAATGTGGCTCTCCGGAGGGGAGCATCTGCGGGGCGGACTTCAAGTACCGAAACCAGGAGTGTGGAGAACGCAGGTGCTTCCGCCTGTCCAGGGTCGGCCTCGCCCCCGCGCGTGCGCGCCCCGTGCGCGGTAGCTGCGCATGCGCACTACTGCCCCATTTCACACGGGCCGGTGCAGAGGGAAGGTTCGCCACTTTTCAACACGTGAGAAAACCAAGGCGTGGGCAGGTTTTTTCGTGTGCAGGGCCTGCTTCTGAGTCAGGGGGCAGCCCTGCCGGCCCGTCGGTGTAGCCCGATCCTGGCTGGGTCCACACCTCGGGGCGCCGCCCACTCGTGTGTGAATGCGTCTGGTCCACATCTGTGGGTTTCTGTGGCCTGAGGACCACGGAGACCATCCCACGTGGTGCTCAGACTGAACTCCCTCCACCCGCAGACGTCAGCTCCCTTGACCCTGAAGCTTCTGAGCGAAGAAGGCCTGGAGCCCAAGAATAATTTGAGGTGGCCTGCAGCTTGCCTTCTGCTCTTTTCCAGATGTTAGATCTAGTACATTTAGCTTTCTCTAGAGACGAGCCTCGAATTGATGCAGCGCCACATGATGGGGCAGGTGGGTGGAAGTTACAGCGAGAGGTTTTTTGTCTGGTCTAAGGAAGAACTTCTGTCAGTGAGAGTTGGCCCGGAATAAAAGTTCCCGATCGGGTGGCCATCCTTCAGGGATGCTGACGTGGGGACTTCTGGGGTGAGAGCAAGCTGGTGCAGCAGCCCTGCAGTCTCCTGCCTCCCGTCTGGGATTCGGGGACACCGTGCGCTTGGCTTCACCTGGGGATGCCGTCCTTGGCTTCATGGCCGGTAGAAATTAACCAGTTTACTGAGAATCATACTAGCCAGCTGTGTGAGTCAGAGTTCGATCCGAGAAACTACCAGTAGGATAGAGAATCTGAGCAATGGATTTCCAGGAACTGCCACAGGCGGAGCTGACTGCCCTGGGGGGGAGGGGGCGTTCCTTCTTCCCCAGGAAGACCCACGGCTCCGCTCCTTGGACTTGCCAGCTGAGTGGGTGAGGCCCCCGTGTCCTCCTCAAGGGGATCTGTGCTCAGAGTCCGTGATTCAGATGCTGGCCACAGATACCTTCCCACTGACCTTTGGATTAGTGTGTGAGAACGGGGGGCTCCCAGTCTGGCTGGGGTCTGTCAGGCCCTGCTTTCCTGGCCCTGCTAGTCTCTCTGGGGGCAGCCTGGCCGGCGGGGAGCCCAAGAGGGGCCTGCCTGGGCCGGAGTAGAGTGGGAGCGCGGCCCCCACCGGGGTGCTTGCTCCCCTGCACCCACGTGGCAGTCCGCCTTGTGTGGGACTCAGGCTGCCCCAGCAAGTCCCCAAGGGAGGCAGGCACAGCGTGCGCCCACCGACGCCTCGGCCCCCCGGGGACGCCACGTGGGCTCTGCCCTCATGCTGGGCGCGCTGCTCCCCCCCCCCCACCTTGCTCTCTTCTAAGCTGTCCCCATTCTCTGGGTGACTGCGTGGCAGTCCCCACCCATTTGGCTTTGAGGGAGCATAGAAAACCCACCTCACAAAGGCCGCACTCCCTTATGGACCCCAGACCCCATCTGACTTTCCTCCACACGCTTCCCTAGGCAGGGAAGGGGCGAAAGGCTGGGGGTCCCAGGGCCAGTCTGCTGCCCTCTGCGAGCCCAGGGGCGCAGGACCCACCAGGGTGTGGCCTTGCCTTGGCGTGGGAGCTCCTCGTGTCTGCTTGCTGTCTTCTGTGGTCTTCGGGATCAGAATCCCTCACTGCCCTGTCCCCTGGGGGCCGGTGACAGCACCTGTCACAGCCTCTGTTCCTTAGTCCCTGTTACTTGGTAGGCCTCTTCAGGACCCTGTTCCCAGGCTCCAAACCTTTTTTACTTTCTACTTAGTTTTAGGAGTATTTTCTCGTATTTTTATTAAAATATTTTTTTTACTTGTGTCTGGATTGCCAACCATTTTTTTGTTCCTTCCATTCCGGCACCGTCTCAGCCTTATTGCTACGATTCTATGCACCCGCTCCTCCTTTCAGACAACAGACACAACACGTGTGATGCTTGGGGCTTGTATAGGTGACGGCTTGAAGAGGGGGTGTTTTCCTGCACGAAACAAGATGTTAAGGCTCGGAGTTCAGGGTCAGGAACAGTACAGACAGGAGGAAACACAGTGGATGACATAGTTTTAGCTCGGCCTCCACGAGGCTCTGCCCACAGGGGCGTCCCGCACACCGTCATGGAGCCGGGTCTTCCGTTGTGTGGCTGGTGTTTGGGTTTTGTACTTTGGGGGGTGGGGAGGGACAGAGGTCTTGCTTTGGTCATCTGCAAGAGCCAGTCGCCAGAGCCCAGTGCCATGACCAGCACATGGCAGCTTCAATGATCTCCTAAGGTAACTGATCGTATTTAAACTTACTACAGAGGAAGAGTAGGTTATAAATTGATGATACAGAAAAACTAAACATTTCCTATCACAGATTTGTCCGTGTGAGTTGTGCTTTATTTACAGATTAGCCATGTGGGCCTTAAAGTGTACCTGTGCTCCAGAGAATTCTAGGTTTCGTGTAGAAACATCTGTAGTAAAACAGGGACTTTCAGGAAGCTGTAAATAAACGGACCGGGGGTGGGAGTCAGTGGTAAAAGACACGATAAAGAAAAACAGGTAGCGAGTTCATTCAGAGGGGTTCATTCAGAGTCCAGAGAAATCTCTTCCGAGGTCATTTCTTGGTGAGTCCATATAGACTGAGCGCACGACCGTCCGGCCCGGGGCCCGCCGCTGGCTGTGCTCTGTGGGTGACAGGGCCCTCGGGGCCGGCGCTCCGCTGCCAGTCGTTCAGTCTCCGCTGTTTCCTTCATCATCTCACCTGTCCCTCCCAGCACGCCGCCTGCCTCCTGGTTTTGCGTGTGCGGTGGAGACCTTGACCTCACAGCGGCCCCGGTTGCTGCTAGTTGTCCGTGAGTTTGTCAGCTCAGAGGGAGGTGGCAGTCTCGGTGTCCACAGCCACGTTTCCTGCTGCAGATCTGACCCAAGATCTCGTTGGGGAATCCACACTGCTTCTCAATCTTGGGAATAAGAATGAGCCGGAAAACCACTGGAAGCAGCAATCATTCGGATTAAACATTTTTCTGTGCCTATTTTAATGTTTTCTGTAACTGTTTTTCAAATGGTTTCTGTAAATCTCTTTAATGCCCCGGTTATAATTCTAGAATATGTGGATTTTAGTTTGCAGTTAACATGTTTCGAACGTTACCACCTTCCTCCAATCCTACGGGAGCAGAATTTGACCCCGAGGAAGACGAGCCAACGTTAGAAGCAGCCTGGCCTCATCTACAGGTACTGAGCCTGGGGTGTGGGGGGAGGGGGAGGCCAGGAAGGGGGCGGGAGCAGAGCGCATGTGGCCGTAGAGGTTTCTCTAAAGCAAGTGCACTGGCCCCACAGCCTCACCCCGGCTGCCGGCAGCTGATCTTGCGATCAGGCTCTGATCTTGCGAGCCTGTGCGTACAAGGAAGGCGCTCCAGCAGACGTGAGAGCACGTGATGGTTTTTTTGTTCGTTTGGACACTTCACACCAACCACAGAGTTACTGAGTTGTCAGTATGTATGTGACGGAAATGACCACTTTGTTGATAGCCATGGACTTGAGGCCTTCCTCAGACATTTCCTGTTTTCAGCACTTAGATTCAGTGCGCCCCAGAGCTCGCCTGACTCTTTTTTCAAACACATCTTAAGGCAAAGAGTTGGTCGTTGGTGAGGCCGGACGCCTCAGAAGGCACGGAGCCCAGCACGAGCGGAGTGTGTGCGGGCCACGTGCCAGGTCAGGGTATGGGCCGTCGGCGGGAGGGGAGCCGGAAAGGTGGGAGCTGGGAAGGAGCACAGTGGGGAACAGAGCACAAAGTGGGGCTGTCGTGGAGGTAGAACGTCCCAAGGCAGGTGGGATTACTGTGTGACCACGACAGCAGGCAACCCACTCCTGGACGGGAGGGACGTCCCAGCCCTGGGTGACTGCATCTGGGACCTGCTGGCCGAGCCGTCCCAGCTTCCTGTCCACCCGGCTCTGCCTCTGCCCAGGACACGTGCAGGTGGCTGCCTCGCACTGTCGACTCTGACCAGCATCAGTTAAGCATTGGTGGCATGAGCCATGGTATCGGTTTGTTTAAATGCCATTTAAGGGTATAGTCTGTGGTTCTTAGCTAAATGAAACAGTTACTATCATCGATTATAACTAGATTAAGCCATATAATTTGGTATTAATTCTGTATATAATGCTTTTTTTTAAGCCTAATATTTTCAGGCGGGTATTCAACTCCTGGTTTGTCTTTAATCACCATCTCATAAAATACCATGTTATTTGATTCATTGTTGTTTTTTTTTTCCTCCTAGCTTGTTTATGAATTTTTCTTAAGATTTTTAGAGTCTCCAGATTTCCAACCTAATATAGCGAAGAAATATATTGATCAGAAGTTTGTATTGCAGGTAGGTACAAATTAGCTAAAACTACAAAAGCCGTAATCTGCCGAACGGGAATACTGAGCCACTAAGTGTCTTTTTCTTCTTGAAGCTTTTAGAGCTCTTTGACAGTGAAGATCCTCGAGAGAGAGATTTTCTTAAAACTACCCTTCACAGAATCTATGGAAAATTCTTAGGCTTAAGAGCTTACATCAGAAAACAGATAAATAATATATTTTATAGGTAAGTCGACGTGTGGGTAACCGTTCTTTTTGCCTGATGGTGCTCCTGTGTTCACACCTAATGCCCCCCTCACCCATCCCCAGCCCCTCCCCACTTGGCCTTCCTGTGTTTCCGTTTTCACTGAACCGTCCACTTACCTGGACAAGGGTCCGTCCAGGCCCACACACTTCCAGGCCCGGCTTAGATCCGGCCCGTGGTGGCATCAATTGCATGTTGACGGATGAGAGAGTTACTGTGGTTTCCTACCCATCCCTGGGTAGCTCACCGCATGAGCAGCATATCCGAAGAATTTGGGCTTCCCTGACTCCGGGACGGGTCAGCGGTAGTGACAGATCCTAGCGGTGACAGGCTCCACGTGCAGGCAGGTCTCACACAGTCCAGCCACGGTGCCAGAGTGAAGGTGACGCGCAGGCCCCTGCCAGGAGCACCACAGAGGCCAGGCGGGCCCCTTCTTAGACACGGTGACCCGGCGAGGGAGGAGGAGAGGGGGCCGGAGACAGATGGAGACACCAGATGCGGGAAGTGCGGTCCCACTGTGGAGACCAGCAGCCTCTGGGAGTTCCAGAGCCCGGCCCTGGCGGCCCCCACCCCGCCCTCCCGGGCTCCGCGGGCTCCGCTGCTCTCTGTCCACACCTGCTACGACAGCCCAGTGTCAGAGCTCCCGGCATGTGTGTGGCTTTCCTTTGGGCTCGTTCCAAGCTGCTCACGTTCCAGGACTGGACACCCACCGCGGTCACAGAGTGACGTCACAATTCCTAAGTGTCACGTTCCCAGCTCACATTTCTTGGCATCAGGCTTCCTGTTGAACAGGATCACAAGGGGCTGATGTGCTTCTCTATGAAAGCGTTACGTGCATCGTTAAACAATAAAGAACAGCGACAGTTTCGACCTAAACTTACTGGTCCACCTAAAGTGGGGGGTTTTTTTCTTAGAACTTAGGTTTTGTTCAAATAGCTGAATCACAAATCGACATTTGCATTAAAAGGTCTTGTACCTTAATTTTTTTTAAATTTTTTAATGTTTTTATTTATTTGTGTGTGAGAGAGAGAGACACATCAGGGTTCTGGAAGGTGGTGCTTAAAGCAGCGTGGGGGCCATGCGGGGTGTCTGTGAGGACGTAGGCGAGGCGGCCCAAGTGGGAAGGAAGGAGCTGCTGCCCTTGCACCAACTGGCCTAATTCTTGGAGGCTTTAAAATGGAGTAAGGCGTCAAGTTAGGTTGTCATGAAGCAAAAAGGTCAGGCTCGGGGACGGGGAGAGGGATGTACGTGTGATCACGAGAACAGCAGATGGCTCATTGTCCCACATGGGTGGCCGAAACGCGGGTGTCGCGGTACAGACCCTTCAGCCTTTCTCTGTGTTTGAAAATTTCCAAAAAAAATGTTGGGGGGCGATTGGAGCCATCCCGTCGGGAAGGGTGAGCCGCCCCCGGGACGGTTTCCGAGGCAGGCGTGCCCACCGCTGAGCGGCCGCGTCACCCCCCCCCGCAAAGCACGCTGTTCCCCATTCACAGGATTGTAGTCTTTCCAGCTATTATCTCCGTGTCCAATTCTAAATGGCAAATTGCTTTTTCTAGGTTTATTTATGAAACAGAGCATCACAACGGCATAGCAGAATTACTGGAAATCCTGGGGAGGTGAGTGCTGTGTTCCTGGCAGTGAGTGGCCTGACGTGGAATTTATTCCAGAATGATCCAGTTCACGGAGTCTAGCAGCGAGGCAATCGAAACCATTTCCAAAGGAACCAAGACCTCACTTGATAGAAGGGGTGGGTGAGGTCTTGGGTCAGAGCCCCCCAGACAAGGAGGTCTCCTGTGTGCCTGGCTCCATGCACAGATTCTGTTCCACATACCTCCTCGAATATGGTTAAGAAGGTTTATGTTTTGACATTTAGAAGAGTGGATCATTTATTGTACATCGGGGTTACTGAGTAAATGCTAATATTTCCAATTGCTTTGAATTTATAAAGTTTTCATATGTATACTTATAAAATTAACATTTCAGTAATTTCACCTCTTAACCCAAGTAGACTTCTTGCTTGCTATCAATTTTTTTTAATTTTTTTTAATTTATTTCTGAGAGACAGAGAGAGACAGCATGAGCAGGGTAGGGTCAGAGAGAGAGGGAGACACGGAATCAGAAGACAGGCTCCAGGCTCTGAGCTGTCAGCACCGAGCCCGATGTGGGGCTCGAACCCACAAACCGTGAGATCATGACCTGAGCTGAAGTCGGACGCTTAACCAACTGAGCCACCCAGGCGCCCCTATTTTTTTTTTTTTTTTTTAAATCAGTGACCTGTACGTTTTATATTAGACCTCCAACCCACTGTTTCCCAAAGAGAGTTCCTCGGAGTTCCGCAGCCAAAAAAGCTTGGAAGTGCTCTCCCCAAGAATAGTGCATTAGTAGCAAAGGTCCTGAAGGGCCCTGCAGGGACGGATCCTCTGCGCTCGTGTTGAATCGGGTGGTCCCCAAAGCCTTTGGGACACAGAAGCCCGTCTCGGAACACTGTTGTCTGATCTGCCGATCGGTCGATCTGTGCTCCACTAGCGCTGAGAAAATGGACCTTGCTATTTTTAGATCTACCTTGAAAAACCCATTAGTCCTCCGGAGAATTCTGCGTTAACCTGCGTCAGCACGCTGGGCAGGTTTCGCTCCGGAGAGCGTAGTGAGCGGTCCTGGGGCCCTTCCTAGCGTCCGACCTCCCTTAACCACTCTTGGCTGCCATTTTCTTAGTAAGGTGGGTGACAGTCCCCTCCCAGGGCTGTCGTGAGGATGGTGTGCTGTGTGAAGTGTCCCCCACGGCCTGGCGTGTCGCGCACACGGGCCTCCATACTCCCCGTGGCTATGATCAATGATTTTATCCTTCCAGAAGAGCTGTTTGGTCTTGAGGGCCTCCCCTGCGTGAAGGAGCAGGTCATCCTAATGCCCACCCTGCCTCCTGGATGGCTTGGAATAGTCTAGAACTCGTTTGACTGCTCTGTGGCCCTACCATGTATCTGTGCTTACCTAATACTGAAACCAGATAAAGAGTAAATAATGAAGCCTGCTTGCCCAACTGGACACCAGCAGATAACCGACTTGATATCAGAGACCAAATCTCCAGGGTTTTGTTTTTTTTAATGTTTTATTTATTTCTGAGAGACAGAGAGAGACAGCATGCACAGGGGAGGGTCAGAGAGAGAGGGAGACACAGAATCTGAAGCAGGCTCCAGGCTCCGAGCTGTCAGCACAGAGCCCAACGCGAGGCTCGAACCCACAAGCCGTGAGATCACGTTCTGAGCTGAAGTCAGACGCCCAACCAACTGAGCCACCCAGGTGCCCCAAAACTCCAGTTTAGAGGCTAGGATTAAGATCCCCTTTCTCTGCAGGAGGGAGCAGCTCTCTGGCTGATTCTTAACCAGCTCCTGTTCTGCACACACAGACGTGCTTCCACCAACATTAGGGTACGAACTCCCATTTCTCGGGGGAAGTGTGACTTCCTAAAAATGGGTGAAGGACAAGTCAAGATGCCGGGTCCTTGAGCTGCCCAGCCTCCCCACCCTGTCAAAAGAAGACGGTTTCACCCCCAGGGACTCCTGTTCGGGTAACACCCTGCAAACCAGAGTTGTAGAATTATCTTACAGTTAACAGAGACAAAAAGACTGTGCTTCTGGGAAGGTGTTTCATTTTCTTTTTAATTTCTGCTAATGTTTGCCTCTTTTGTGAAACCTACATTTCACTTACTGATATTTCTGCTGAAAACACAAAAAAAATCAGCAAGATTTTTTTTAACCTAGAATTTGTGATACTCAGACTTGGATACATTCTGTCTTCACAGTATAATTAATGGATTTGCCTTACCGCTGAAAGAAGAGCACAAGATTTTCTTGTTGAAGGTGTTGCTGCCTTTGCACAAAGTGAAATCTCTGAGTGTCTACCATCCGCAGGTAGGGGGTGATCCGCAGCGACACATGGGGGAGGGGGGCGCTAGCAGGGTGTCTCCGTGTGAGCGGCAGTGAGCTCACGACACAGAACCCCAGCCGTCACCTGGGAGTGTCCACGTATCATGTTGCAGATGTCAGCCCTAGTGATAGTTGAAAGGATACAGGGGTAAAGAGATTTTGCCTTTTTAAAACAATCAGAAAAGTCTCAGGAATGGAGGATTTCAGAATTCTAAGCGCAGAGAAAGGGGTGACCCACTTGATGACAGGTGTCAAGGGAACTTCTCAGAGGGCGTTTCTGTTGTAGGATTTAAAATCTAGCTCTTTCTGGGGCGTCTGGGTGGCTCAGTCGGTTGAGTGTCCGACTTCGGCTCAGGTCATGATCTCATGGCTAATGGGTTCCAGCCCCGCGTCGGGCTCTGTGCTGACAGCTAGCTCAGAGCCTGGAGCTGCTTCAGATTCTGGATTCTGTGTCTCCCTCTCTCTCTGCCCTCCCCCACTCACGCTCTGTCTCAGAAAGAAACATTTGAAAATAAATAAAGTCTGGCTCCTTCAAGGAAAAAAACCTCTCTGTGTGTGGCCAGCGAATGGCATACAAAAAAAAAAAAAGTGGGTTTTTTAAGTAAGCTTTTTATAGTTTGCATAAATCTACTTACAGTTAACACTGAAACTTCGGTCAGTAGGCAGTTAATACCCGGTTAGCTGGCCACACTTTGCCAGGAGAGGATGTTTTTCCTTCCTTCTTGCACTTGTGAATCCTGCATAGACAGGTGCTGAGGGTCGGGGACAGGCCTCGTGCCCGTGCGCCAGCAGCCAGCAGGCACCTCTGTCCCTCACATTGGGAGCGGAGCCCAGGATGAATCACAGGAAGTGTATTCTTTATGTGATTCTAATGACATTGGCTTCCTGAGAAATATTTTACTTGGAGGAGTTTTTTTCTTCTTTTTGCTGTTAACCGGTGATAATATCTTTATATCCAACCAGATTGTGATCATGTTGGTTTTTTTAATTAGGTTTATTTATTTTTAAGAGAGAACGAGGGACAGTGCAGGAGGGGCAGAGAGAGAGAGAGAATCCCAATCAGGCTCTGTGTTGTCAGTGCAGAGCCTGACGCAGGCTCAAACTCAGGAATCATGAGATCAGGACCTGAGCCACAACCAAGAGCCAGACTGACCGACTGCGCCCCCCGGTGCCCCCATGTTAACTGTTCTACGGGAGGGATTAACAGTTCAGAGGTTGAATTTGGAAGCAGATTTTAATTTGGTTTTTCCCAGGCTCTTTGGTCATTTGTTCATTACAGTCTCCAAAAAAACCGTGAGAAAAATCCCCTCCACCCTGGGCGTACTTGTTGATGTTTGTCCAGAAGACTGTTCCCTGATGTGTTTAGCTTTCTGTCCTTGGTTCCTGAGAGTCCCCCTCAGAGCCCCGGCAGGGGCCGTGGAGGGGAGCCCGTGCCTGCTGGGGGGGGGGGAGGGCTCCCCCCCAGGGGCTCCCCCAGCGGGGGCGGGGCAGCACATGGTCAGAGGAGAGCACCGGGTTGACGCTTTCTCTCCTTCTTTCCAGCTGGCCTACTGTGTAGTGCAGTTCTTAGAGAAGGACAGCACGCTCACCGAACCAGTGAGTACCTCGCCGGCTGCGTTGACGTCACACACGGGCGCTGACGTCACACTGTGGGCTTCCCCGAGCATAAATAGCACGGTCGGGCCGCGGGCCCCAGAGCCGTCCAGACCGCATGTTGCATCCCAAGCTGAGCTGCCGACAGACGCACCGGCTTCATGCCCGTGTGGTGATTTCCGGACCGTAGTGATTTTAATTACAGGATCCTTTATTGCGGCGGTTATTGGACGCAATCGGATTGCCATCTTCTTTGTGCGGGACTTTACTCCTTTGAATGTGAGGCGCTCGCGGGGTGTGGCCACTGGGGCGCCTGCCGGGTTGTGTGAGTTGAACACTTTCACTCCTTGGCTTAACCACACCCGTAACTGGCTTCGATCGGACCAACTGTAGCGAGTTCTCGAAACGCTTGTGCCAAAGAGGCTTCCTTCCGCGTTCGAGGACAGCAAGTCGCTCATCGAGCATCCGGGCAGTGCTGCCACATGCTTAGCTTTCCGACGCTCCGGCGTGTGATCCGTGTTAAAGATGGAAAGGTTGTAGCCTAGATGAACAAAGCTGAGTGCACCGGGTGCCCAGTTAAGGGTTTGAATTCACGTGTTTTAACAGCTTCATGGAGATATATGTCACACACCATACAGTTCAGGCGTTTAAAATGTACAGTTCAGTCGCTTTTGGGTATATTTCATTATTCATTATCTTAATCGTGGTAAATTATATACAACGTGAAATTTGCCATTTTCAGTGCACGAGGGGCGTTAATTACATCCAGGGCCACGCAGCCTTCCCCGCTGTTCCCAGAAGTTTGTCACTGCATCGCCCCAGACATACTCTGCGCCCGCCCCAAACCCCGACTCCTGCCTCCCCCCTGCCCACGCCCTGGTGACCTCGCACCTGCCTCTGTCTCCACGAGTTTGCCCCCTGGGGCACCTCAGATGGGTGGCATCCTGCAGGCCGGGCCTGTGTCAGAGCTCCGCCCCGGGTGTGGCCACGTACTCTCCCTCCCCCTCTCCCCTCTCCCCCCTCCCTCTCCTTCCCCCTCTCCCCCTCCCCCTCGTGTGTTGCACCCCGGCTCCCCTGCCCGTGGACACTGGGCTTGCTTCCACCCCTTGGGAATACGCGGGTCGTGAGGCTGTGACCGCAGGCATGCCAGTGTCTGTGCAAGTCCCTGCTCTGCTCGCAGCCCCGCTGGGTGTGCAGCCCCGAGTGGAATTGCTGGATCCGGCGGGGCTGCCGTGTTCTGCCTTGTGAGGGGCTGCAGGCTCCTTCCCAGCGGCCCCACGGGGGTTCAGGGTCCCGCTTTCTCCACCAGCACTTGTTGTCGGCCCTTCTTTTATTCCAGCACCTGGTGAGTGTGTGGTGGTGTCTCTCGGTGGCTTTCGGAGTTGCATTCCCCCCATGACTGAAGACATTGGGCGTCTCTTTAAGTGCCTGTTGGCCACCTGTGTGTGGACAAACGTCTTTAGATCCACTGCCCATTGTTTATTAACTGGTTGTTTTTTACTGTTGAGTAACAAAAGTGAGAAGTACTGAGTGCCATTTTCAGGGTTTGAATAGTCTTCTCAAAGTTACTGCTGGAATAAAAAAAGGCAGATGTCATCATTCCGGCATCTTCTCTGTCCCCTCGGCCGTCTTACACAGCGGTCCCATGAGGCTGTGTTATATGGTGGGGATACACAAGGAGTCCTTAATGCCCAGCTCCCAAGTCACACTGGCTCCCAATCTCTGCTTTTTCTGAGCTTGTAAACTCTAAGCATGGATATCCTGTGTCACCCTTGACCTCGTCCCCCAGCGCCTGCCCCAGCTCCCCTTCCCAGGGTCTCTCCTCACCACTGCCCCAGCTCTGAGATTCTGGAAGCCCCAAGGAAAGGCACCAAACTTACCAGACTTCAGTATCAAAGCACATAGTGTAGGGGCTGGTATTTTTACCCACCTGCAGGGAAACCTGAGGTGGCATCAGTGATAAGGTGTCCTGTGCTCAGTTCCTCGGAGTCTGAAGGGCATCTCCAAACTAAAGGGTGAGAACCAGAGGTGCCTGGGTGGCTCAGTCAGTTGAGCATCTGACTTCAGCTCAGGTCATGATCTCACGGTTTGTGGGTTCAAGCCCCGTGTCGGGCTCTGTGCTGACAGCCTGGGGCCTGGAGCTGCTTCCGATTCTGTGTCTCTTCTCTCTGCCCCTCCCCTGCTTGTGTTCTCCCTCTTTCTCAAAAATGGATAAACATCACAAAAATAATAACATAAAAAGATAAAGGGTGAGAACCGTAATACGGGAATAAATTCTAACACACACCCTGTTCTTTTCTTACCTCAAAAATAAGAAGGGAAAGAAAAACATGGGAGAGAAAACACATGCCCTTTTCTTTCATGACTTCTCTCTGTGTATATTTCTCACTCTCTCTGGAGGCTAAAGAATCCACCCGATCTTGGCCTCATTTACCCCAGCCAGGACTGTCCCAGCCCGGGTGCCAGCCCCGCCCCAGCAGGCCTCCATTCTCTCCTGCACCCGAGAGTAGGCGAAGGTGACAGAGCTGTGTTTCGGTCCCACTGGTCGAGCTGAAAGAACTTGGCAGAAGCGGGAGCTCTTTGCTGCAGTCGATGGAGGCCGGAGACGGCGTGCTGGCCGCGGTTGGGCCCTGCCGGCTCAGGCACAGAGAAGCTTCGGGCCCCCACACACCCCAGGATCGCCACCCAGAATCACTTCAGTCCTGGATTCCCCACAGCATAGACAACGTACTGTCTCTCAGCCCCAGAAAGCAGACTTAGTTTTCTGCACATTGAAGACCCTCGCCTTAGGGAACACCTTCCTTTGAATCCACATTTTGTGAAAATGCAGAGGCCGATCTGTCTTACTTCAGCACTGAAAGCGTGTTGATAAGAAGACAGATGGGTAAACTCTTGTGAAGGAGTGTGTCCACTCGGCAGCGCTAAGGACACGGCACACACGGGTCTCGGGGTCCTGGACCCAGGCCACTCCTGAAGCCAGCGCGGCCAAGGTCAGCGGTGGTTACAGCAGGATGCGTTGAAAAGACACATGTTGTGCCGGTTAAGGTCTATAGTTAGTATTTCTGCTTGTAAACCGTGTGCGGTGCTGGAAGGCTTTCCGGGCATGTTGAACACGTACACTATTATCATAAGAATAAGATCTCAGCCCATCGCAGACAGAAGTAAAGTCATGTTGTTTTCACCCACCTGTTTCTTTAGGCTGATCGACTTTTACTACAGCGCCTGGTGGAAACTCTGTTTTTCCCTCGTATTCAAGGGAGGGGGCTCCTCTGCCCTCCCCTGCCCTCCCCAGCCCTGTCCAGAGAGTGCAGCGCATTGAGTTTCCAACGGAAAGCTCGGTGCATGATGGGCAGACAGCCACTTTTGCCTGGATCAGCATTCCCAGGCCGACCCCTCCTCTGCAGACGCTGTTGCGCCCCAGTCATGGGTACCGGCCGTAGGTCGTTCCCAGTAGTGTGAAAAGCAGGTCCAGCGTGGGCCTCTGATTCCAGAAACACCACCTCTTCCAGAGACAGTGAGTAGCTAGACCAGGTGTGTTCTGCGTCCCACGTGTTAGTGTATTTCTCCTAACAAAGCTCCATTTGTCAAATGACAAAGAAGAGTGGACCTGCGAGGTGATTGGCACCTGCTGTCCTCTTAGCAGTGGCTCCCCTCCCCCACGCTGGTATCTAGTAGGTGCTCGGTAAGTGTCTACTGACTGATTTTGAGCAAAAAAAGTAGGAGAAAAAAGCATTAAATCATAGATTCTTTCAAAGGATTTCTTTTGAAAGACCATCATGTTGTAAATATTTCCATCAGACTTCAGAACTAGGAGCACTGTCTTATGAGTTTTGGGGTTTTATAAAGGGTAATCTCATAAAAGATTGCCCAGGAGCCTGAATGCCAAAAGCATTAACGGAGTTGTTCTAACTGGGCGTTGTTCAAAGGCCCACCGTGATTTAACCACGGTCACCAGCAGCTGGCCTGCCGAGCAGCAAGGGGGTGTCTGCGCGGTGGGTGGCAACCACCAGCCAGTCCGAAAGGGCTGGCATTCACGGTGATCTTCACGGCCGTCCCGATGCTGGGGGCTGGGACAGCAGTTCCCGAAATGGCCGTGACAAGTGAGGAGCTGCTTTAAAGCGATGGGTTGCAGTCATGTGTGGGCAGGTGTGCTTGTGTACAGATGTTGTGGGTCCTTGTACTATTTAGAATTAAGGTGGCTCAACTCTGAAAATACATACTCAATAATCCTCACCACGTCAAATCTGATATTTTGGATGGATGGTCTTTACTGGTGCGGTTGCGGGAGGAAGTTCGGAAACTAGAGGAGTGAGATGAAGAAAGATTGGCCCGCAGACACCCTTTCTACCCGTCTGACTTGGGCGGGGAACGCGAGGTCCAGTCCCCGCAAATGAGGAAGCTGCCGCCGGGCCCTCTGAACGTGCCTCGAGGGGGCGGGTCCTAGCTGAGGCCGAGCGCGGTGCTGCCCGCGGGCCGACACTCCTCAGATGCAGGGTTCTGGCAGCCCCGGAGGCGGTTACCCACCCAAGGTCACTGGTCACACAGAGGGCAGCGGGCCGCCCCAGGTCCCTCCACGGCCCTGCATGGCATGAGCTGATAACAGCGTCAGCTTATTTCATGTCTCCCCCCTTGATCTGTTTTAGCACAACCAAAAACACCATGTGTGCACATGCAGCACGTGTGTTTGTTTATAAATATGTATGATCGATTTGAGATAGAAATGGATCATGCGTACACATGTGTCACCTGCACTTTCAGAACTGGCCACTTGGGCACTGAAACAAATACTCAAGCTCATATGCTCCCTGCTTCTCCATTGTTCTCTCTCAACCCTCCTAACTGCTTATTTTTTTAACCTTTTTTTCCTCAAAGGACTGACTGCCATGGTGGTCCGAAAGAGAGGGTCACATAAGTTAAAGTCACAATTCTTAATTATATAAATTTGACGTGTTTCTCTAATTATAAAAACAAAAACCCACATGCTGATTTCCTGAATCACCGTTCCTTCTGCAAGGAAAAGGGCACCTCCCTGTTTGGATGCTCTGTGGGGGGCGGGGGAGGGGCCACCCTAACGAAAACCAGAACTGCTAACTCGCAGCGGCCCTCACGGACGTCCCACTGTGTGTTGTGTCTTCGGTAGGTGGTGATGGCACTTCTCAAATACTGGCCAAAGACTCACAGTCCAAAAGAAGTCATGTTCTTAAATGAGTTAGAAGAAATTTTAGATGTGATTGAACCGTCGGAATTTGTGAAGATTATGGAGCCTCTCTTCCGACAGTTGGCCAAGTGTGTGTCCAGCCCACACTTCCAGGTACGGGGGGCGGGGAGAGAGCGGCCTCGTATCCGGGTCCGCCTCGGAGGTGACAGGCTTCAGGGTCGTGCTTTACCCCTTGTGTAGTTTGGAATGTGCTTCAAAATAAGATGCTAAGACTGTAAGTCTCTAAAATATATTTCAGCCTCTCGACTGCCTCCCCAAAAGCATGTGTCTCGCTACGAGGAATTGGACAAGGCTCCTCTGGAAACCTGTCTGTTCTGTCTGCATGTTCAGTGCGCCCCAAATGCGTAAAACCCTGCTGTCCACAGCTAAGTGGTGGACTCTCGTAGGGGACACGAAACTCCGAAACCCTGCCCCCCACACACACGCAAGCACTTTGTTTCCAGCGCATCCACATTCTGACATTCGTCCCCCACAAATCCTGTTTGAGGGGCGCCCCCAGTCACATCCCGCTTTCCTTGGCCTCTTGTGTAGTCTTCTGGCCTCGTTCAGAGGTCGCCCCTGGGGCCCGTGTTCAGCCCGTCTGCCTCCGTTGGACGTACTGGTCTGTATCATTAGCTCACTGTGAGCAGAGCGGCCCTGCCCTCGGGGGGCCACACCCCTGCCCCGCTCCGTGCCCTTGCTCACCAGCTGTCCCTGCTGTGTTCCTCCTGCCCCCCGCCAGCCCCCGCACCCCCCCACCTCCACCTCACACCTGCCCTTGCCCCCTCGGGGCCTCCTGGGGACGCGATCTGCCCCACACAGGTCCCCTTCCTAGCTGCTGTGCCCCCCGACGTATCCCTTCTGGTAAATTTGTTCTCCCGTCATTGGTCTCCCCCCTGCCCCCCCGGAACGTAAGATCCGCTCCCCTTGCTCATTGCTGGCGCCTCCGAGATCCGCGCTGCTTGGGGGTGGACGGGAGGCAGGAGGAACGAAGGCGGTTGACCTGCGACCCCAGCGGTAGCCTAGGGCCCGGCGTGAGTGTGTGCCGAGTGAGCAGAGCACTTGACCGGGCTCCTGCTGCGCAAAGAGTCCCCTCCCTTTTGTTGGGGGCTCTTCAGGGTCGCAGCCCGGAGCGCTGGGGTTCGTGGGGATGACCATCTAACCCCGTGTCATCCCTGCCTGTTCGCAGAGCCGTGGGGAGGGCACTGCTGGAGGTGTGTCGCCGTGGTCACAACAGCTGTGCCCTCCGTCTTCCAGGTGGCCGAGCGGGCGCTGTATTACTGGAACAACGAGTACATCATGAGTCTGATCAGCGACAACGCTGCGAAGATCCTGCCCATCATGTTTCCGTCCTTGTACCGCAACTCCAAGACCCACTGGAACAAGTGAGCGCGGCCGCGGGTGCTCCAGCCCAGCTGGGGTCCCGCCCAAGTCTCAGATGGCAGCGAAGAACCAAAACGTTGATTATTGGGGGAGAGGGGTGCTTACAGTGAAGTAGGAGTGAGGATTACATTGCGGCCTTTCCTTTCCGCCTCACCCCTGTCTCACGCCAACACGGAGGCACATTTGTTGACACGGCGCCTTCCTGGCCTCACCGTAGCCCGCTCCCCCCCCGCCCTGGGGAGCTGAAGGTCACTGCGAAGCTTCAGGCACGGTCCCGCAGGAGCACGGGGGTCACCCCGAGCCTTGGCCAGACACTAGGGAGCCCCTTCGGGAGGGCACGAGCCTGCCCCCCGAGCAAGGGGCAAGCAGGGACCAGAAACACAACCTCGGGGGTCTCAGGCTTGCTTCTCTCTCCCTTGTCCTGCCCCTTTAACAAGGATGGAGACCCTGGGCAGGCTCTTCTGACACCCTCGAAGGGAACAGTCGGTGCGGGCTCCCTGGCAGCGGAGTGCCGACTGGTGCTCGTGTCATTTACATGACTGCGGGCACCGGGGCTTTGCTGTCCCCTCCTCCCTTCGTGTCTGCCCTTTCTATACCATAATCGTTCAGTCAGATCTGAAAGTGGGGGAGCAGGGCCGCCAGCCCAGGAGAGCAAGACTCAGGGCGGTGCGGGCCGGGCTGCACTCTAGAGCTGGCCTGTGGCTACCTGGCTCGCAGGGTCCCCCGCACCCCCTCCCGCCGTCCCGGCTCACGTCCTTGCCCCCTCTCACTCGGCCACAGTTTCCCCGTCTGAGAAATAGAGAAAACGTTGGCCCCCAGCTTGCTGTTATGAGCTGATTCGTCAAGAAAACCCGTATTCATGCACAGAAAGCCCTTTGCGGCGACCTTCACCTCGTGCTGGAGTTAACGAAGGTGAAGTTAATAGATGTGAGGTCCCAGGCACCTAGCAGGTCTGCGGTGAGTGTTCACCCTCAACACACGGCCGTGGGGGCAGCGGCGACCCTCATGCCGCAAGACGCAGCCCCCGCCACGGGCCCTGGTCAGACCGCCCGGCCCACCCATCAGTACATGGGCCTTCAACAACCTTTCCTTCGGGACGCGCATTTCCTGTTGTGCTCAGCGGGTGCTGGCAGAGGCCTCGGAGCGTAGCCATCGTTTCTGTGCCATTGAGAGTGACAGGAAAGTCAGCAGTGACCGCTGACCCGCCGCAGACCCCAGAGGGGGGAGAAGGGTTAAGTGTTTCCAAATATAAGTTGGGTACTATGAAGTGAGTTAAGAAGTAGTTGTGAATTCGGCAACAGCACAGAAAGAAGTACCAGTGTAGTTACGGTTCGAGAGTTAAGTTTTTTGGCTGTTGCTCACAATGCTGTGGGCTGGCCAGGCTCTGCTGGGCAGTTCTTGGGGGGGGGGGGGGGTTGTTGTTGTTGTTTTTTAAATTTATTTTTGTTTTTTTATTTTTGAGAGAGAGAGAGCACAAGCAGGGGAGGGGCAGAGAGAGTGGGAGACCCAGAACCCGAAGCAGGCTCCAGGCTGTCAGCATAGCCCATCAGGGGCTTGAACTCACAAACCGTGAGATCGTGACCTGAGCTAAAGTTGGAGGCTTAACCGACCAGGCCACCCAGGCGCCCCTGGGCAGTTCTGCCAATCTCACCGCAGTCCCCTGTTGGCTGTCGCCCAATGGCGAGTGGGACTAGCAGCCTCTCCAGACCCCACTCGGTCACAGGGGAGCGGGGCCTCCCCCCTCTCGTGGGTGTCGGAGCTAAGTGTCATTAAGCTATCCTGTGGTAATTTTACATTTTGCCTTCAGAGGGGCACCTGGGTGGCTCAGTCGGTTGAGCGTCCGACTTCGGCTCAGGTCACGATCTCACAGTTGGTGGCTTTGAGCCCCGCGTCGGGCTCTGTGCTGACAGCTCAGAGCCTGGAGCTGCTTCAGATTCTGTGTCTCCCTCTCTCTCTGCCCCTCCCCTGCTGGTTCTCTGTCTCCCTCCCTCTCTCTCTCTCAGAAAGAAATAAAACATTTAAAAAATTTATTTTACCTTCAGAGCTCTGTTTCGGCATGATTAGAAACTTTTCTGCTCTTAATTAATAAGATTACAAGGAAACTGACGTTTATGGGAAATAAAATGTTTTCTGTTATTGTCCCCAACTCATTCTGGTTTGTCTTAGTTATGTATACATTTTCAGTGTTTATTTTTAAGAGAGAAAGAGTGTGAGTGGGGAAGGGGCAGAGGGAGAAAGAGAGAATCCAAGCAAGCCCCACACTGTCAGCACAGAGCCCTGTGCGGGGCTCAAACTCACACACTGGGAGATCACGACCTGAGCGAAATTGAGAGTCAGACGCTTAACTGACCGAGCCACCCAGACGCCCCTTAATCATATTTTTTTTTTTAAATATTTATATTTATTTCTAGGAGAGCGAGAGAGACAGCATGAGCAGGGGAGGGTCAGAGAGAGGGAGTCACAGACTGAAACAGGCTCCAGGCTCTGAGCTGGCAGTCGGCACAGAGCCCGACGCGGGGCTCGAACCCACGAACCGCGAGATCATGACCTAAGCGAAAGTCGGACGCTTAACCGACTAAGCCACCCAGGCGCCCCCCCTTAATCATATTTTTTGAAGTTTCAGCATTTTTTCATTCTGCTTCCAAGGAAGGGGGCTTTGGGCCGCTGTCACCCAGGACACGGCACCGAGAGGCCTCGGGCCCGGGCTGCTCAGTGAGGGGCTCCACCGGCCGTGTGGACGCAGACACACCCAAACTGACAGGCTCTCATGGAGCCCGGGAGGCCTGGGGACGAGGGCCGTGGCCGAGCAGGGCGAGGCGGGGAGGGGCGGAGGGAAAGGCGGAGCGCTCGCTCGGAGCCTGAACACAAAGTTCTGCTTACAGGACGATACACGGTCTGATCTACAACGCGCTGAAGCTCTTCATGGAGATGAACCAGAAACTGTTTGACGACTGTACCCAGCAGTTCAAAGCGGAGAAGCTGAAGTAAGTTGCTCCCTTCCGAAGCTGCTTCCTCAAGGGTTCAGTTTTCCTCAGTCCCGAGTAAACAACTTCTGTTGGTTTGTCCGAAAAAGCCTATCACGTTAAAGCAAAGCCAAGTCTCTCTTCCTCAGAAAAGAAATGAGAACGCATTCTCTTAGCTTATTTCCAGAGAAGGTCGCGTGCTCCCCAGATGCTTCCAGTTCAGTTGTCTCTGCAGACGTGTGTCTGGCCAAGGACCTAACTTCCAGAATTTTTGCTTTTCTCGGGGAGCATGTAAAGCCTGTGAGGTGTCGTGATTTTTTAGGTTCATGAGGCAGGAATTTGAATCCCGTCCCATCAGATTTCTGAGAGAGAGCAAGCACCTTCGTGACAGACCCTCCCTGGAGCCCGGCCTGTGCCCTCTCCAGAACCAGGGCCCCGCCTCACGCTTGGAGGGAGAGCCAGGCACGGGCTCTGGGCAGATTTTACTCTTGCTTGTCTGTCACTCGAAGCTCAGGTGGATAAACGGTGAACGAGTATAGTTGAAATTGCAGGGTATTTATAAACTGCAGTCACGTCCATTCAGTAGACAGTATGGATGTGTTCGCCCGCACGCCCGGCCTGTTCTGGCAACACAACAGGGCATGAAACAGAAATCCTTGCCCTCGAGGGTAGTGTGGAAAGGGAAGACAGCAAAACACACGAGGAGGGCGCCATGTGCGAGGTGGCAGTCTGTCTCCCGGGCGCCCTCCCAGCTGAGCACAGCGCTCAGATGCGCCACTGGCCTTGAGAGGGCGAGTATCTTCATTTTCTGAAGAGGGTCTTGCAGCACATTTTCTAGAAAAAAAAAGTTGGGTCCAGGTTAAGTGACTCCCCGAAGGCCGTGTCAGTCACCGGCCAGGAGCCAGGCCTCAAGACTGTTCCTTTTTAAAGCTGCCCTTGTCAGGACATTGGCTCTTAACCTCAGGGCCTTTGCGCTGTGGAATGGTCTCACCTTTCGTGGCTCTGGGAGCTTTTCTTCAAGATTAATTAGGTCTTCTGGAGAAGCAGCTAAACCAGGAAGGACAGAGACCTCCGATGTCCTCATATAAGTGTTCCTAAGAAACTTCATTCCTCAGTGTGTTAAAATGTTGGCGTATCTCGCTGTTACATCTGCTCTGAGTCTGCTGGTGTTTTCATTCCGTTGTCCGTGGCAGCATATCTTGTGACGACAACTGCGCAGTTTGTGGCGTAGAAAGCAGAAGGTGACAGGGAAATAGGTGATTGTGTTGCGGGCCGTGTGGGTGTTTCCTCTCTTGAATGTGATCCCCTCTCTAATGCCAATGACGTTTTACTGTTTTTCAGAGAGAAGCTAAAAATGAAAGAACGAGAAGAAGCGTGGGTTAAAATAGAAAATCTAGCCAAAGCAAACCCCCAGGTACTAAAAAAAGTAACATGAAAACGTCTAGGGTATCACTTGAATGTTTTTGTGTGATAGGAACATGGCTCCATCACGGGCCGGGGGGGTCTGCTTCACTAACCTTGTATGTGGAAACGTCTGCAATAAAAATGCTTCTCAACTTTTGTACAAGTAACTTATTTTGCCCCACCAAGTTTTTACCACAGAATTGACCCTTTTTTTCCTCTTGCTTTTTGTTAGATCTGAACCTTAACCAGTGTACTGTGGTAAAAAGAAAACCTCTCTTTTGGGCCAAGATTATAATTTGCTTTCTCCTCAGAAGTGTCATTGATGCTGTAGCTCAAATGATCCATCCCTTTCTTTTTAATATCTAAAGTAATCCTAAAAGAAAGGAAGAAGGTAGGTTTGAAAGAGACGAAGCACGAAGTTGGTGTCCTCTTTTCCAGAACTGGGTTCCTATAGGCCACGCCTTCTAATCGTTAAAAATTGCCTGACGTCTGCCCTGTTAGCCACTAACCCTCTCTCCTGCCCTCACTAGAAGGTTCCGCGGTGTATCTTCTGGAACTGGCGAAGCGGTGGCTGGCACAGGGCCCGCTCTGGGGCTCCCAGGGCGGCTGGGGGCTCTGGGCTGGGAGGTCACGGGCGTGCTCCCCAGGGCTGTGCCCATCTGGTCACCGCGGCGCCACTTTCCTGAAGATCGTCTGTGTGCGTCTCTGCCACAGTAACAGCGGCTGGCGGTGCTCAGCCTCCCAGAACAGACTGTATTGACAAGAGCCACTCGGTACCCACAAAATCCTAAAAGCATCGTTCAGGTGGAGCTAGGTTCCAGGCTGTCTGTTTCCTCGGGCCAGAGGTGGGCGAAGATCACTCAGCAAGTTGGTTGTGTGGGTTTTACGGCTCTCTGACATCTCATAAAGAGGGACACAGGATCACAAAGTTAAAAGTGTGTGTCTAATCTATATGAGATATCAATCGTGTTCCCCTTGATAAAACCACATTCGAGAGACTTCCGCTCTAGGAAAGTCGAATGACGTGAAGCGAGGCCTTCCTTTGGCCCTGAACCCAGCCCTCGGCCGCTCTCTGGCATGACTGTTCTGTGCTCGGCTGCAGAACTGCTCTGTCCACCTGCTAGAACGGAACGCATGCTGGAGACATCTATTCTAGCACAGTGAGGGCACCGGCCTGGGGCAGGAGGGGGGGCCCTGCCTCACGGCCCGTGCCGGGGCAGCTGGGCGGGGGTCCCGGTGAGGACCGCCAGGCACCCCCCGCCACATACGCACCCAAAATCGACCCCCCCCTTCCATGAGAGACATGGAGAGTGTATACAAATCAGAAGGGCTGGTTTTATTTATGTCGCCCGGAACATAGAAATAATCTCGTGAAAACCCGCGTGAAGCGTTCAGGTGGCAAACGGAAAAAAGCCGGTCGGCTGTGTGGCGGCGGGGCCTGGCCTCGCGGTGCTGTCACTGTCACACGTGCGCGCTTCTGAGACAGGTGCTGCTCTCGTCTCCCTTCCTGAGCTTCCTGGTTTCCGTACGTGACACATTCACTCCTTCGGGCCGCTGTCCCCAGTGTCCCAGGCGGGCAACTCCGGACTCACCCTGGGCTTCGCCTGCGGTGAACCGGGCGCTCGGGGCACCGTGCTGACCGTGTCCCCGTTGAAACCCTGTGTGACTCGAGCCCCCTGAGTCCTGTCTGCGTGTGGCAGTCCCCCGTTCAGCGTCTCCGAAAGGAAAGTACTTTGTGGGCTAATGTCTGAGAGCTGGGAAGCAAGGGGCTTGATTTCCCTTGAGAGCGAGGGGGTCTTGTCTAAATCCTAGTCCCCGCTCGCCACCCAGAGCAGCAACGACGAAAGGTAATAACCCAGTGGACGGTACAGCCTGCTTCCTGTTTCCGCCATGAAAACAGTCGGGTCTTTCAAGCTTTGGCTCCACGTCATAGCTGCTTTTTCAGGGCGCCCGTGGGGTGCACTGTCCGCTCGCAGACCTGCATCTTCCCCGGGCCCACCTGCTCGGCCGCATCCGTTGCGGTGGCTGCGGAATGGTCGCTCGCAGCTGCTGGACTGGCTCTGGGAGCACCATGGGGAGTTTAATGTCCCCCATCATTTAAGTACTTCCTAAGTCCCGCGGTCCTGAGGATTCCTAACGTAAACATGTTTTCCGACTCCCCGAAGAAGCCAAGTAACAGTTCACTGCTTGCTTCTGCCCGACTTTGGTGGGAGTCGTGTGCGAGGAAGACGGGCACTTGTGTGAAGTCGGGTACAGCACGCTTTGCCCTGAGAGACGGGCCCCTCGGGGTGGGGGGGGGGGGACATATGTGTCCCCTCGCCCTGCTGTGACCACAGCCTCAGCAGAGGGTTTGACTCCTTGTAAGAACCCCTTCCCGCCAGCGCCTGCTCAGTGGCGCTTTGTGCTCACGCCTCTGTCTGCCCTGAGCGCCAGCGGGGACCGAGGGCCGCACAGCCCTAGAGCGCGGGCCGTTGGCGGAGGCCGCGGAGTGCGCGCCGCTTCCCTCGGGGGCGGCCAGCGGCTGGACCGTTGGTTAAAAAGCAGTCCCTGCGCCTCCTCGTGAGTACCGCGGTTCCTGGTGCCCCTCTGGGCCGCTGCACCTGGCAGATGGGCACCCGCCGGGCGTCCTGGATCATGAACTCCCCCAAGAGAAGAGGATGAGAACAGGACACAGCTTCAAGCTTAGGGCCCGCGAGGGGAGCCGATGGAGGCAAAGAGGATTCGTCTCCGGCAGTCGGATTCTGATCCGTGAGGAGGTGCTGGGAGGAAGCCTCTAACAGGGACGCAGCCAGAGGGCTGGGCTCCATGGAGGGGGTCTCAAGGGGACTCGCCGGTCTGAATCCCGGGGAGGGTTCTGGAGGCGGAGAGCGGAGGCAGGAAGTGTTTGCCGTGGAGGAGGGGCTGCGTGTGGCCTGGATTGGGGGCGAAGCTGGAGAGGGAGCAGGGTGGGTGCGGGTGTTAGTGTCACGGAGAGGGGCTACTCAGACTTGCGTTTCCAGAAAGTTCTTCCTGGCAGCCACAGGGATGGTGTGCTGGGAGGGGCCTGCTCTGGGGGCTCTTGCAGAGGTGTGTGGCCTCGGGTGGGGTGGACAGGAATGGTGGGCGGAGGGCGAGGTCTGAGGGCCCAGAGCTGTGAACAGAGGTGAGGCAGGGAGCCCCCAGGGAGGGGGGAGCCATCGGGAGGGGCAGGGAGGCAGGAGAGGAACCGGAGCAGCCTCGGGCAGTGGTGTTCCATCCGCTGTGCCCGTCGTGCCCAGAGAGGCCGAGAGAATAAAACCCGACAGCTGGCTTAGTGACCAAGAGTCACCCAGCCCTGGCATCTGTGGTGCCGTTGGAGGGGCTGCGGCGGGCGGGC